CCCCCCCCCCCCCCTCCACACACACACACACAAAGTCAGAGAGAGAGAACTCAATTTGAACTTTATATAGCAAGAAATAAACTGCTACTGAATTATGCACTAGGATCTTTGGGTTGACCTGCCACGGCAGCTACCATGTCCTGGACTAACACAGTGCCTTGTCTTTGAACCTGTAGTCTAGAAGGCTCTCTGAGTGTTGAACTCTAAAGAATCTGATCCTCTAGGGAGCAACGAGTGACGCTCACAAAACACAAACTCTCCTTTCCTGAGCCCATCCCCTCTGATAGAAGCCAACTTCAGTTCTCCGTATACATATAATGTCACATCAGATCAAACACCTCGTGATTTCAGGGTTTCCACCATCTCTGCTTCCAGTTGAGGAAACTAAGGCACAGACAGATTAAGTGTCAGTGAAGCAGCAGAGCTGGGATTCAAACCCAGGTGGTCCAGTTTCTGAACTACCTTCCTCCGCATTCTCTCCTGCCTCCCCCTCTTGAACTGGTGCTGACGGGATTAAGACTGTGGGCCTGCCCAGATGGCCAAGGGTGTGCGGAGGAAGCTGCAGCCTGGGTGAGCCTCAGGCTGGCCAGACCTGTTGGTCTTTGCAATCTCAGACACTCAGAGAGTCTGCCTGGCGCAGGAGCGGGGCAGGAGCAGGGGCTTGGTGAGACCTCACTGCCCTCAGCTGGGTGGGCCCTGTCTCACCCAAGGGCCAAAGATGAGGCAGGCACTTGATCTCGCTGAGACTCATTCTGCCATGAGCTCAATAGCCCTGAAAATGGCCAGCCATATGCCCTGGTAGACCCTACATGGTTGGCTGGACAGCTGACACCACGAAACTGAAAAGCTCAAGGTAACTGTGTTTTCTCTTGTCAGACATACAACACAGCAGGGAAAACTAGCTTTGAAAGAATTCTGACCTCTGAGAAGACACCTGAGAACAGGCCAGCTCTTGCTGAGGTTGCTAGGCAACAGCCTGAAATCTGGTTCTGGTTTTAGATACTGGGGATTTGGGATGGCTGTAAGGCTGGGCAGGCAAAGGCCAGGCCTGCCTCACTTAGGGTTGGGAAGAGGCAGTGCACTCTCCACCCATCAGAAAGACCCGAAGGCCAAGATGCATGCACAGCCTTCTCCCTAAGCTTCTGTTCCCTGTTGACTCAACAACCCCTGCCAAACCCAACTCACCCAGGCTGAGTCAGACACAGGCAACCAGGCTAGGCCCAGGTGAGCCCGGCCCTGGCTCCAGAGGGCACCTGAGAGCCATGAGTAGAGAACATTGTCCCTTGGGACCAGCAGTTAGTGTAATGGCTATGTCGCTGGACTCCCACGTAGTCGACCGCGGTTCGAGTTCCGGACCTGGTGGCCCGGTGGCTTAAACTCATGCTGGGCACGTGTGCGTGCGTGCCCAAGATCCCAAAGGAGAATGGAGGAGAAGGGATTGTGGCATGGCCATCTCCCCTGGGGGGTGATTTCTCACTTTCTATCTCTCTCTCTCCCTCTGTCTGGCAAGTGCACACACCCTATAGCAAAAACCTCTCCAAAAAAAATTAAAAAAAAAAAATAAAGAGAGAATGCTGACCCTGCCCTGCCAATGCAATCCCAGCCTACTGGGAAGTTTAAGTCAGAAATACACATATGTTCAAAAAGACTAAAGAAAGAATGGAAGGGTCAGGGGTGGTATGGAGGTGAAGGCGGCTAGATCCCACATGGCTGACTACATGGTTTAGTCCTTGATCCGGCAGCTTAAAAAGACACACTGGGCACATGTGTGTGCACCCAAAACCCCAAGAGGAGAATGGAAGAGAAGGGATTTGGAATGGCCATCCCTCCCAGGGATGCTTTCTCACACATACGCCCCCCCACACACAGTCTTTGGTGAGTGCACACACCCTATAGCAAACCAAAAATAGAAGTGAATTCTAACCCAATTAGTTAATAAAGATGTATTTTTACACAGAAAAGTAAAACTAAAAGCATGGAACAATCTATCAAAAACCGTTGAGATTCAGAATGCCACCTTCCATTAACACTGCAGGAGAATAATAGATTCTGAAAAATATTATGTATCAGAGTTTTGACAATCAAACAGAGGATGGCAGATGGGAAATAATCTCATGAGTAAAGAAAGAAACTTAAACTGATCAAAAACTCTGAGTAAACTTGGCTTCCTAGATGATCAAAGAACTAGGTTCTCACCGCCAGAAGTCCTGCCCACCCCGAAGCTCCCTGGGGTCTGTCCTACCCCAGAAACTGCCCACGCTAAGGTAGGTCCACACAACCTGCACACACCCCCTTTGCCCGCTGTTGGGTCAGACACCATCTTCTCTTCTGCCTCTAATAAGGATCCTTCACTTAATTATATCAGCAAAGACCCTTTTCCCCCATAAGGTTCCATTTATAGGTTCCAGGATTTGGACCAGGATGTGCCTTCTGGGGGGCACCCTTCGACTCCCTCCAGTTTCTCTCCTCCAGCCAGACCTAGGCCTGTGTTGGTGCCTTTCCTAAGACACCTCCCTGGTCTTATGTCATTCCTCGGTGCCTGCTGGCCTATCCTTCTGAAAGCAAGCCGGGCCTCTGGTCACTGCAGAGGCATGTGACTATCTGCAGAGAGGACCCTCCTTCTCAACCCTGATGACCTGGGACCTTGCACGTGACACCACAAAACACCCCAGGGTCTGTGTTGTGTATTGCTGTGTTGATAAACTCACTGTCTATTTACATTTTATCTTTAAAAGATACCACTTTATTGGGGTTTCACAAACGGTAACGTTCTCTGTTAATTAACACTGAGGGGGTAATTATTTTCTTACTTTTTTTTTGGATGTCTGTTGGAAAAGAGAGATAAAAAGAAACCAACCTGCAGCAAAGGTTTTACCAACACGGCCCTTAGGGGTCAGGCACACCCCCAAAGACCCTTGCCCTGAACTGTTTCTGTGAACCAGGGAACTCCTCTGCACACAACGTCCGTCCTTTCTTGAGAGAAAATACTCCATGATCCATTTGTTGGGTTTTGGATGAACATGTTAAAGCCGAACCACCCTGGACTTAAAGGCAAGAGGATGGGAGAATGGAAAGAATCAACCCCACCAGGAAGCCTGTGCCACACAGCGAGCGAGTGGAGTCATTCACCAAATCCAATCTCTGAACGCGTGAGCTGGTGGAGCAGCAACGCCAAAAAGCTGCTGCCAGTCTGTATTTTATTTCATGCGTGTGAAACCCTATCGGCTCCAGGAGGACAGACGGGGTGCGGCAGTAAAATGCAATGCTGTGAGGCTGACCCATATGGGAGGGTCCTGGGCTCAACCCCAGAGACCTCCCGAAGTACACAAGGGCACACAAGACCATCTTCTGGAGCTGGCTGAAGCTGGGGGTGGATCGCACTGTCAAGCCTGATAACGTGCTGTCTCTCTGTCTCTCTCTCACTGTCTCAAGGAAGAAGTAAACTTTTTTTTTTTGAGAGGTTTTTCACTATAGGGCGCGTGCGCTCGCCAGACAGACAGAGAGAGACAGAGAGACAGAAAGCGAGAAATCACCCCCCAGAGGGGATGGCCACGCTGCAATCCCTTCTCCTCCATTCTCCTCTCGGGATCTTGGGCATGCACGCACACGCGCCCGGCGTGGGTTTTTTAAGCCACCGGGTCCGGGACGCGAATCGCGGTCGACTTCGTGGGAGTCCAGCGACTTAGCCATTATGCTAACTGCTGGTCCAAGGAAGAAATAAACTTTTAAAACACACACCAGCAATCGGTGTAATGGCTATCGCCAGACTCTCAAGTAGTTGACTGCAGTTCGGGTCCCAGACCCAGTGGCTTAAACTCACGCCGGGCACATGTGCGTGCGTGCCCAAGATCCCGAGAGGAGAATGAAGGAGAAGGGATTATGGTGTGGCCATCTCCCTTGGGGGGTGATTTCTTGCTTTCTCTGTCACTCTGGTGAGCACACACGCCCTATAGCAAAGAATACAGAGAAGGGGCCAGTGGCGGGTGGTGATTAAGGTGGCTGAATTTCACAGAGCTGACTGCGCAGTTCAAGTACCAGACCTGACAGCTTGAAACACACACACACACACACACACACACACACACACACACCCAAGCTGCCGATGAAACTCAAGGAAAACATACAATCAAACCAAATTCTCTGTCAAGAAGCACAGGTCTGCCTGGACAATGAGTCCCCATATAGGATGGTGCCCTCTGAGATGCACCAAGTCACTCCTGCCAACCAGGACACTGAGAAGGGGTTCCTATGGCTCATGGCAGGGCAAGGGGACAGTCCTCTGGGAGCCCAGAGAGGAAACGAGAGAATAACAGTGACCTAGCCATGCTCCTGTCTCCTGCGAGTGAGTCAATGGCAAGGACACCACTGACGTCATCTGCCGTGGTGTCAGTGCCCTCTCCCCCACAGCCCCCAGCTGTTACCTGGGTTAAGGACGGGCTGGACGATGTCCCCATTCCTCCACTTGGTCTCCATGCGCTCCAGTTTCTGGGCTTCGTACCGTTTCCGGCCCTCTTCCTCCTGCTCCTGCCGGGAATACTGCGAGAAATCACAGACAGGGGTCAGGTCACAGCAGATGGCCTCCTCCCATGCCGACGCAGGCCTGTGGGCACCTCGTGTCACCTAGCTTTGTACACTGGGACTATCAATTCTTCCTTGTGATAACAGGCACTTAATAAGCAAAGAATATGGAGAAGGGGGCAGTGGCGGGTGGTGGTGAAGGTGGCTGGATCTCACAGGGCTGACTGCGCAGTTCAAGCACCAGACCCGACAGCTTGAAAAACACACCGGGCATGTGCGTGTGTGCCCAGAATCCTGAGAGGAGGGGTTGTGGGGTGACCAGTTCCCACGAGGGCTGCTTTCTCACTTTCCCTCTCTCTTGGTCTAATAAAAGGAGGAGGAAGAAGTACAAATCTCATGTAGTCCCAGTCCCCGGAGAACCTGGGTCAAATGTTGGGTCAGGTCCTCCCTGGAGTTTCTCTTATGCCTCTGAATATATAAAAAGTTCTATCATGCTCTATGTGGATTTTAAAAGAAAAAGTTCCACTCCTTTAACTGTATCAATGTAACAATTTGTGAAACCGGTCAGTTATATAAGGGAATTTAGCTTGTTCCCAATTTAAGTTCCCGATTATTGGGTTGTTGGAAAAATGACTTTTTTAATGTTTTTCTATGCAAAAATGTGTCATGACTTTTCCAACAACCCAATAAAACAGAAACACGTTGTTTCCCCCCTTCTTCGTGAGAGAGTACGCAAGCTTGCACACGAGAGTGAGAGAGACAAACACCCTCCACAGTGTCTGGACACGCCAGATCCCGGCTTCCAGGCTTCCAGTCCATTGGCCCTTCGGCACTCGCACATGTGCCCAGGCTGTTTCAGGCTGTCGGCTGGAGATGTGTAACAGTCACCACGTGGGAGTCAACAGCTCCCGGGCAGCACGTCACCGCTGTGACTCGGAGCTGGCCCTAAACAATGGAACACTGACGATCCGCAGCCACTTCTTTCATTTTGCACCTGTCCCATTCCTCCCTACGATCCATTCCCGGACGCTGAACCTACAAAATCAAGAGGTCCCCAGAAAGGCCACAGACACTGTCCCAGGGCCGTGCCAGAGCAGGACCCATGTGTCCCGACACCAGGTAGCCTACTTTGCTGACCTTGGCTCATCCACTAGGCGGCACGCTGGCAGGAAATGGGCAGTCAAAGCTAAAACAGGCCCCTGAGGCACTCCTAGTGGATCACAGAGGTTTTCACCCACGAAGTTAAAAATAAATGAAGATAGAGCCTAGCACAAAACCCAGGCTCCTGGGGCCAGAGAGTGGCACAGCAGGAAAACGCAGTACTCTGCAAGGCTGACGCACAAAGAAGGTTCCAGGTTTGCAAGCAGAGACCTCCTGAGTATGCCAGGCATGCGAGTGCCCAGGATCTGGGGCTGCCTGAGGCTGAGGACGGATCACAGCATCAAGAACCTGTTGGGTGCTACTTCTCTCCCTTGCTCACTTACAAAAGGAAGGAACAAAGGAGGGAGCAAAGAAAGAAATAAACTTAAATTAATAGGGCCAGCAGATGGAGTGGAGGTTAAGGCAGCTGGATCCTACAGAGCCAATTGTGCAGTTTGAGTCCTGGACCCGGTGGCTTGAAGAACACACCAGGTGTGTGCATGTAAGTGCCCAAAATCTGGAGATGAGAATGGAGATGACAGGACTTTGGACATGGCCATCGCCCCGGGGGTGCTTTCTCACTTTCCCTTTCTCTGTCTCTGTCTATCTTCTGTGAGTATACATGCCCTACAGCAAAATTTAAAAACAAAACAAAAAACCAAAAAGGCTTCTGAGTCCTGGGGTTCTGTGACATCACAGCATTGGTTCATTCATGGTCCTCCTGCACCCGTATCCTCTGGCCCAACAAGGAACACACACACACACCCTGCACTGCCCTCCTGTGTGCCCCCACAAGCGGGGCCCACCAGTCTGCTGTGCTGGCCCCAGGCATGGTTCCTGGGCCTCTGTCTGCCCTCTCCCCCAGGGGCGCACTCCCTTGCTGCCACCAGAACCATCCCCCTTTGCCTTGGCCCGGGCCCCCCACTGCTGGCCACTGCCGGGCCATTCGGGCCATTCCTCTTTTGATTCGCTTCAGCTTCCATTCTTTCATTTATTCAACCAACACTTCCAGCATTCCCAGCTGAGTCTGGGGAGTCCTAGAACTCAGGGCCTCTCTAGGTTCTTCCCTCTCCCACTCTGAACCCCCGCAGACCTAAGCAAATCCATTTCAGGTGGCACTTTGAGACCTTCTTTCAAAGCCAGTTCTAAAGTCTCAATTTTCAGGCTTGTGGCTCGGTTCCAGTCCCGTACGGGGTCTGACACCATCCCGAGGCTTAGTCACCCGTCATCTCCGGCTTGAGCACAGTTCTCAATGGAGGCTGCGAAGGCAGCTGAGAGATTTGTTCAAAAGAAACAAGCCGTGGGGAGTGTTTTAGGCTGTGGTGGATAATTTAAGCTTTTCCTCCATAAATAAACTATTTCCTAACGTTCCACTGTCCAAAGAAATGACTGGGAGAATAGAGTTTGTACTGCGTCTACTCAGAAAAATTGATGGCTGAACTCAAGTGCCCTCAAAAAATGTCTTTTCTTTCTTTCTTCTTTTTTTTTTTCAAAGGTTTTTGCCATAGGAAGCATGAGCTCACCAGAGGTGGGGGACAGTGAGAAAGCACACCCCGGGGCGATGGCCAGGGCACAATCTCTTCCCCTCTTGGGATTTTGGGCACACGTGCACAGGTACCTTGTGTGATTTTCAAGCCGTCAGGTCTGGGACTCGAACCACAGCCAGCCATGTGACCCCAGGAAATATCTTTTAAAGAAATTTTTCCAAGGGCCAGTCCCATAGTACAGCAGCTGGGCGCTGGGCACAGAGAACCAGATCCCACAAGCCAACCGTGGTTCGAGTCCTGACCCTGGAGGCTTGAAAATCACTCTGGGCATGTGTGTGTGCGTATATGCCTGAAATCCTGACAGGATGGAGAGATGGAGGAAAAGGGATTGTGGTGTGGCCACACCTACTTGGGGGTGCTTTCTCATTACTTCCGCTCTGGCAAGTGTACATACCCTCTGGCAATGAAAACAAACAAACAAACACAAATTTTTAAATACAGCCTTCAATCTCATAAATCCCTCAGGCACTCAGCATTCTTTTTTTTTTCTTTCTTTCTTTCTTTTTTTTTTTTTTTT